ATGGAACTTGAATCGAAATTACTAAAGATTCTCAGGACACTAATATATTGCCTATGTACCAACATATAATATACACTCTCGTTTAGATCATCAGAAGACTAATTCATAGATACTAAACATGGTAGGGTTATATATATGTAAGATGACAGGAAGGAGTGTTTCGATCATAAGCCTGCATAAAACAGTATAAAATCTCAAAGACAACATACACGATGACCTGAAGTATATGTGTGTTCATTCAAAGAAAGGTTTTCCTATTAATTAATTAGTAGAAAAGTCAATTTCTACTATGCCTTATGCTTCTTGCTATAAAAAGGTTGTGATTTTCTCTGTTTCGCATTCCTAAACCCAGTGATATCAGCGTTGGTTGCCATGGAACCAGGGGCCTGTTCGGCTTCCTGGGGTGTTACGCATCTCGGGGGAAGGGTCCATAGGTCCTCATATGGCTTGTTAACTGAGGGGTGTTACAGAGTATTTGTTAAATATAGCTAACAAAATATATATTGTGTGTTATAACTAAAATCTTATTTTGTATTGCAGGAGATATAGAAGCAGATAACAAACATTTAGTCTTACTGCCTTTGTCAGTCGTCAATGTTTTTGAAATAAATGTTTTATGCTCAGCTTTGTGAAATATTATTAAAATTTAAAATAACTGTTTTATCATATTTGCTTATATAATTTATTCCTTTGATGTTAAAGCTGAATTTTCAGCAGCCATTACTCCAGTCTTCAGTGTCACACGATCCTTCAGAAATCATTTTAATATGCTGATTTTGCGCTCGTGAATATTTTTGTAAAAACCATGATACTTTTGTAATATTAAACATGTATTTACTGTCACTTTTGATCAATATAATGTATCCTTGCTGAATAAAAGTGTTAATTTTATACAAATAAATAAATAAATACAATCTCAAAATGTATGATTATATTTTAAAACTGCATCTTTATTTCTCAGAATCAGTGACTTTAAATTTGTGATTTTTTATCTTTTTTATTTTTTAAACATATCTTCATGAAAAAAATAGAATACAATTATGCAATTAGAATACACGTTTAAGAATACATTTGTGAATAAAGTAATTATTTTCAATCAGATTTTATAAATGCATCCTGATTTTAATATGCTGATTTGGCGCTCGAGAATATTTTTGTAAAAACCATGATACTTTTGTAATATTAAACATGTATTTACTGTCACTTTTGATCAATATAATGTATCCTTGCTGAATAAAAGTGTTAATTTTATACAAATAAATAAATAAATACAATCTCAAAATGTATGATTATATTTTAAAACTGCATCTTTATTTCTCAGAATCAGTGACTTTAAATTTGTGATTTTTTATCTTTTTTATTTTTTAAACATATCTTCATGAAAAAAATAGAATACAATTATGCAATTAGAATACACGTTTAAGAATACATTTGTGAATAAAGTAATTATTTTCAATCAGATTTTATAAATGCATCCTCTATCTGCCATTTGGACAAACGGGTAGACTGGCACCTGATTTCAAATTGGTTGGGAGGCACCACATGCCGCACTTCTGCTTTTATGTCGCTGCCATAAAACTACAGTGTTTACATTCTTTGGGGAAATCATCCCACGAATGGCTTACTTATAGTTGTCTCTGCAAATTAAAAAAATGAATTAACATTGAAAAAACTGTGCACATCAAATTTAATTAGGTTCAGTGTGTCACTACACAAAGATGTGAGCATGAATAATTTAAAGATGTGTGTAACTTTTTCCATGTTGAAATATTTTCTCCAATTCCACTTTATTGTGCGGTGTAATGAATTTTTCTCATTATTTGTAATTGTAGGGAGTTAATTATTATTAATACATTCAGGTTTTGAGAGGACTCGGATCTGAATATCCCAAGTCCACCTGATTAAACCGATTTCAAATTTGTTGTGTTACACTTTAAATCCAGGATCGTCCAGCGAGCCGTGATTTCAGTATATTTAAAAAAAACTGACTATGTATCTGTATTTTCCCTGGCCACGGGTTAAATACAATTATGATAATGTGTCAGCTCTTAGAGCGGTAATTATTATAAGTAAGCTACGAGCTAAGTAGCAAGCAAGGGATCTTTTTGGCAACAGTTTTAACCTTGAATTATATGACACCAGACAATCCTTCTTTATAAATGAAACATGAATTTATTTGGACTATTCTAGATGACATCAAAACTAAACTAAAACACACATACACACACATACAGTTTCAGGTGACAGAAATGGCTGAAAAGCTGAGGTGATTCTGTCGCTGACGCGGGCTTCCTGGATGTCTGTTGAGGGAAGCCCGTTGCTGATTGGTCGGTTGCGGTGACGTCGGAATGATGTTTGAATGACGTTCTTTTGGGGAAGCCCTCTTGGAGTGCTTGGTTGCCGGTTTACAGAAGAGGCTTCAGCAGTCCTGCTAAAAGCCTGAGTTTGCAAGACTTTGAAGATCGTGTTTCTCTGAAGTGTTTGAGTTCTTAGATGGTCTCGCTTGTGCGATGGTACGGCATGGGGCGCTTTGTCGCGCTCACCAAGGTGAAAGCCAAAGTTATTTTGAGTGAGAGTACGAGCCCGAGCGTAAAACAGGACCAGAGGGCTTTGTGTCCATTTTAAGCAGGCTGACTTTTGTCCACCCCACAGGTCGCTGTCCAATCAGATGGTGGCTTAGCCATGCCCCCTACTGTTCCTTATCATGCATGACTCGCATGCTGTTTGTGGAGAGTATTTCTGCAAGTTTTAAATATCTTCTGATAACAGTA